GCCAGGTATGCCGCGGAGCGTGGACTCGATGCGCCCCAGGCCGATGGTGCAAGGGGAGGAGAGGCGGGGCAACGTCCGGGGGGGGGGGGGGGCGGGGGAGATGGTCGGCAAGGTGCGCCCAACCGCCCATTGGGGGGTGGAGGCTGTGACACGGAAAAGGACGTGATCCGCATCAATGGTGAGGCGCGTGACCCGGGTGAGGAGGGATATCCGGGACACGAGGACGTGCTAGTGTTTCATCCTGCGACTGGGGAGACGATGGTGGACTGGGTGCAGTGAGCAGGCAAGGGACATGTGCCTGCAAAGGAGGGTACGAGAGGGGAGGGTCCTTCAAAGAGGAAGGGAGGAGGTGTTGATCCAACTGCCACCCAAGCTGGAAAGAGGCTTCGCCAGCAGAAGGTGACTGATGTCTACGGTGGCGAGTGGGTTGCTTGCCACAATGAGGCCTTCCTTTGCCGGCTTTCGTCCAGCGGGGTCTCCTTCAATGTCTTCCGCAACCATGCATGGAAGGCATATCAACAGGTGGTTCTTGAGCAACCTGGCAGTTTGCCGCGCGCTGTGCTCCCCAGCCACAGTGAGATTGCGAGCATGCGGGCAGTGGAGGCCCACCGTGCGGAGTTAGCAGAGGAATTGGAGGAGGCGAGGCAGCCATTCTGGGTGACTGGTGCCACCATCCTTTCGGATGGGAGGAAATCACGAGACGGAAGACTGATCGTGAATTTCCTTGCCCAAGGCTCGCGAGGGGTCGTCATGTATATGACGATCAATCAAGAGGGGGAGCCGAACGACGCAGACCACGTCCTTCGGAGATGGGTTACAATTTTTCACGAGTTCAGGATCTGTGGGTCGCAGCAGTGCGATATGCACTGACTCCGCATCAGCGTACTTGGGGGTTCCAAGGACAATGACCTCGCCGACCATGCCTCTTGCACTGAGGACGATCACTTGGTTCCTGTGCTCCGTCCATGTCTGCAGCAAATTGATGTCTGACATGACGAGCTGCGACACGTTTGTGAACACGATCACACACACTCGTGTGCTGGTAATGTTTTTCAAAGCCCGTCAGGCCGTCCTTCATTTTTTTAGGAAGGGCAACCCCAACAAGGGGTTTGTTCTTTCCTGCGAGACGCAGTTTGCTTCTATTTATTTAATTCTGGAGAGGCTGCTGGCTCTACAGGATACTTTGCAGGGTATGATGCGAGGGGATGACTCGAGGGCTTTTGCTTCCATCTCGTGGTCCGCCGATGTGTGTGTTATGGCGTGTTGGGTGTGCCGACAGATTAAATAGGGTCCTTGGTGGCAGAGGGTGACCACCATCGTCCAAATCGTGGATCCCGTCATGCAGTTGCTTAGGCGGATGGATCGTGGAGGACAATTCATGTCGGTCATGATCAAGTGGACACAAGATTTTGTCCACTGTGTGACGGACACGTGCACTCCTTTGGGGCAGTCCTTCGCTGACCGGATCATCAAGGGTGTGCAGGCCCGCACACATCACATGCTTGAGCCGGCTCACTGCACCGGGTTCTTATTGAACCCCCGCAGGCGACACGTTTATGACTTTTCAGGCGAGGTGGAGGGTTAGCATGCTTGGCTTGAGAGGCAAGCCGAGAAATTCATTCTGACTCAGACGGGTTTCGAGTTAGACCTGTAAATTACATCGTTGCATGTCGTCAGTTTGAGGACTTCCACATGCAGCAGGGGCAGATTTGGCGATTGGGGTGGGGCGGAGGGGCGTGCTCGTGGGGGCACGTGTAGCGGTGATGCCGAGACGATCGAATGCGCGTCTTGGTGGTCCCAGACTCCAGTACGGGGATGGCGCGCCTGAGTTGCAGTGGTGCGCTCTTCGTGTGATGCACATGTGGTCCTGCACCTCTCCACTGCGCCCGCCTCTCCACCGGAGAGGAACTGGTCAGTCCACAAGGGCATCCACATGAAGAAGTGTAACCAGCTGGCCTTCGAGATGGTTGTGCAACTCGTTGAGATCACCACAAATGTACGGTCAACAGAGTATCGGCAGGCAGGATGCGGTTATGTGGTGCCATGGCAGCGGGACGAGGGCATGCTCGACTGCCAGGCAACACTCGAGGTAGAGTCGGTGTGCGCGAGCACACGCAGGGGGATGACGCAGGACGAGGGCAATTTCTCCTATCAATGGAAGTAGAGTGAGCAGTTAGGTCAGCCGCCGGGTTGGAGACTTACCTGTTGGCCAGTGCGTTGTTCATCCTATCGATGGAA